TGTATAGACATACTCAAATCAAGAACATTCTGAAAATGACTAGATCTATCGTCTCGCTGGTCAGCAGCAGTTTCAGTGACTACTTTCTTCCCCATAGCCTCATTGTGATCAAAATACACTAAATCACTGCTATTCACTGACATGTCTACAAATGAGTCAATGATATATCCCAAAAATTGTCTAATGGTTCATACAGAGAAGACTCGTGGGCATGTCCCTCTGAGGAGTGAGGACGGGCATTTCCCTTAGAGAGGTGCTGGGTTTCTCCCCTGGACTGTGGTCATGGAGGCTTCACTGGAGGGTTTGCTGCTACCTTTTTAGACAGCTGTAACAGTTTGTGAAAAGCGGTTCTTGACTGAAATGTAAATAATAATATAAGTTATTAAATGTATAATAAAGTATGCTTCTTCTAATGTAAAAGTAAATTTGAATGTTTTAAAAAATAATCCTCATTTTCAATGGCGTTTGACTTTGCGAAACATTTATCTTATAGCAGGTTGAAATATAATAATGATCAATCCACATTGCCAAGATACAGCTATGACTAATTAAAACCCAACAATTAATCAACATTGATGAGATCTAAACCTGTGACTAACAATACATAATAATTAATCTATATTATCGAGATCTAAACGGTGTCAATGGGCTTAATCTTTCACATGAAAACTAAACGCGTAAGTCTTGACAATCTCCTTGCAAGTCACCCTGAAGCTTACATAATTATGGGCGACTTTGTAAGCTCTAAACGCTGATGTCACAATGTATCACACAAAACAAAGGTTTATTTAAATAAACACATAATAATTTCGAAAAGTATCTTACATACACATCTTAATATGAGGGAAGAAATGGTATAACTCACCTCTAGGCTGTTACTTGAACCAAAAATGAAACAAAATTATTGTTTTAAGCGAAGGTGCTGGGCTGGGACTTCTGCGTTTAGAGTTTCAAATCAAGGTAAAATCCTGTTACACGCGTTTAGAATCCGTGACAAAAAGTGCAATTTTCATTTGTTCAATGACTTTAATATTTATAGAGGAGGTGGGGGAAACCTATTGGAGTGAAATAAAACCAAAATATTATTTTCCAAAATTCCGGACTTACGCGTTTAGAGACTTACAGGGACGATATATATATATATCTATATATCTATCTATCTATCTATATATATATATATATATATATATATATATATATATATATATAAACAATTCAAAAGTAATTGGTGACGGTACTACATTAATCCCACATGTGTGTCTTTATATAAGTACGCATGTACATGATTTGTGTCCTTCGGTTTTTAATGTTGAGCAAATTTGCCGATGACTTTATTTGAACCGTGCATCCTTCTTACAAAAATCTCTTTTGCTTTCTATCCACAACAGGATGCAAAAATTCTGCTTTTTGATGTGATCCCAGTCTCTTAACAGTGAGCTTTGCTTCACATAATAAAGAACCAAAGCAAATTACCAATAAGTACTCTACAAGATACATTGCTGTATTAAAGAGCAAGCATTAGATTCCAATTTAAAACTACTTCTTCAACTTGCAGATACAGTATTATAACAGAGCTTGCTTCATTGTTTGTTTGATCTTCACGCACAGAACACCAGTGAACACAGTATGCACGCAAGAGATCACTAACAGTTAATACGCTCAAAAGTTCATTCAAATGTGCACACACAATCTTAGCCCATTGACGCCAACAGAGTACGGCTAAAACCCCCCCCCTCAAAAAAAAAGAAGAAAAAAAAAAGAAAAGAAAAAAAAGCGGAGATGAAAGAAAGGAGGGGTGGGGGGCGTGCTCAGTCTACACTTTGTCTTGGAGCCGTGTGGGTGTGCAAAGTTGGTGTCAATAGTCAAGCGCACGATGCCTAATCACATGACAGAGTGCGGCTTAAGCCCCCGAGCCTAATGGCATCATCAGTTGTTTCGGCTTTGAGCCATTCAATGTCAAAACCGTAGTGATATTCAGTCAGGGGGAATTTAAGGGTCTGGTCGTAAGGGATAAACAAACGAAATTTCATTCTCCCCATCGGAAGGGGCGCCTGACTGAACAGAGCTTTAGACATAGAAAATAGTGGTAAAGTTTTGACCGTTGGAACATTTTTTTAAATTTTAAAATCTGTTTTCAACAGAAAAGTACTTTTTTGGTGAAGAAAAACCAGGTGGGGCTGAAGCTGCAAGCCCCGCACCACAAGACGCCCCTGATTTTAATTTTGACTCTACATGACAAGGCTCAGACGTGTGTCCAAAAAATTCACGAAGTTAGAAGCAGCGACAATTAATTCTTTATGTTACGGCTAGACAACTGTGTTAGTTGTGAAAAAGTCTGTGTTGTAAGTAAGTGTACGATATGAGCTGATTAACACAAATGTATCCATAAAGAAACCGAATTTGCTTATGCACGCACGCACGCACGCAGACAATTACATATATTTTTGGTAGTAAAAAAACCTTTGATTCTTATATGTACAGGAGGACTGTAGGCTAGGAAGTTAAAGAGGTAAAATGAGTGCATTGTATTGTCATTTTTATTCTCGCTTGGGTCTGTAAATCTTTGAAATGTTCAGCCCATCAGTCATAAAAATGTTTTTAAAAAGATATGAAAGGAAGACTAGAATATAGATTAAAATCCATTTGTGGGGAAGTAAAACATACTAAAATATTCCAATAACCCATGAAGCCCAGTTACAGCCCAAACCATTCATCTGTGATTAAATGCCATGGACTGTCAAATCATCCCTTTGTGACAGTTCTGTCATTGATATCGCTTTCACCAATCTCTTCTCAGCTCTGGTGGGGTTTGCTCCTTCTTTCCTATCAAACGTCTATCGTCCTGATCTCTCCTCCTTCTGTTATATGTTTGTTACTCTCTTGTAAGTGCGCCCGTCTCCGAAGCGGAAATGCCGGGTTCGAGCCTTGGTTTAAACATGGATTTATTTCGCCCCCTCCTGCCCGCCCAGCAATATTGGGTACCTGACTTCGATTTCTGGAAGTAAAGACGGCGTGGAAAGGATCTGGCCACCCTACCATTATATATCGAAGGCCCAGGAAGTTGTCTCACTAACAAGGCAATCCCCAATGTCCGGATTGGATGAGGGAACAACTTTTACTCTCTTGTAACACTTCTAATCTTCGGCACTTATCTGACATTATTGTGTTGCAAATGCTGTAAAACTCTCACTTAAACTAAAACTAAAGACAGAGTAAAGACTAACACAAACAATGTTATCGCCGCAGTAGGAGACTTCGTACAAACATTTTGGATCCTGGTGACAAAATAACTGCTGGCCCGTCAAGGGAGCAGGAGAGAGGGTTTCTCGTCTCTGGATTCCAGCGAGCGCAGGAGTGTAGGACTGATGACTGAACAACACAGAGATGTAAACTTACTGTGGGTCAGCCAACATTTCTCTCACACAACGGCAAAAGCAAAGGCGTCAACAACACTTGCAAAAACATGGCTAATGACGGGGACGCTGCAGACAGCCTCAGCAGCAGCAACAACAACAACAACATAAAAGCACTAAGAGACTCATTGTTTCCTTTTCTTTTTGCTAATTTGGTTAATCCACGCTTTCCGCTACACTATCCGAATACTCTTTGCACCTTTCTGCTTAGTAAACGCTATTATAGAAAACGTTTTTGACCAGTAACTGAATGGAAAACTTAAAAGTAAGAAAGATAAGTTGACTGTAGTCCACGGGACGCTTCGAGGCATCCCTTAGGACAGAGCCTTACACTTTATTTTAGAAATTAAAAAAATAAAAAATTAAAGGAAAAAAGGACAACGAATTAAATTCCAAATATACCACTGTATTTTTAATTGCTGTTTAAAGGCTTCTCTGTTGACTTTCAAAAAATATTCAGTCATCAAGATTGATTTATTGTAAAAGGAAAATAATTATACGCCACACGTCTTAATTCTACTATTACCGGTTTGTTAAACCAGGAAGCACATTAATTAAAGCAGCTGAATGAAACACCTAAAACACCGACAAGTTTGTGGAAACATCGCTTTGCCTCCATTAGCGTTAACATACTTCTGCTTTAACTCTTTATTAATCTTTAATTTCTTCTTCGGACGTGAGTATCATTGGTTGCTTGATCATTTCATTCTTATTTTCTTTTTTTTTTCACAGACGTCTTCGAACCAAGTTGTTTTTATAATATAACAAGGGAAAATATGTGACTATCTTTGAAATGGTAGATAAAGGAGGACAATG